GAGAATAGTGTGTGTGTGTGTGTGTGTGTGGGGGGGGNCCCACTTCACTGAGGTTAAAGTTTTTGTGCAAGCTTTTTTCCAGACAGTGCTGGATCATTTCAATACACTGTTGTCTATTATAAGATTGAAGCATGTATATGGAGTGTAAGCAATGTGATGAACCATATTGTTAAGGGCCAAAACTGATTAATTGGGCTTGGTTAAAATTTGGGGCAAGCTTGGCGTTAAAGCTTTAAACGGCAAGGGTGTTTTTGTGTGAAGTGTTGGATCACCACCATCAATAGGATGTTGTCTTTTATAAGGTTGAGGTATTTATATGGAGAGTAAACAATGTTCTGAACCATATTTTACATATGTTAGGGGCCAAAAGCAGCTCAAGTGGACTTGGTTAAATATTTAGAGGCTTGAGGTTAAAGTCTGAACCCTATTTTCATATTTTACTTATTTTAAGGGCCAAAAAAGCTTAAATGGCGAGGTTTTTTAGACAGTGTTGGATCGGTCACCACTATCAATACGCTATTTCACGTTGTCTGGTCATCTCTTCTTTTGAAATAAACAACATGTTACGGGACAGTGAAACCTTGTTATATTGACAACATGTGTTCAAAGAAATATTGGCATTATAAAGGGGTTGGCAATAAATTGAGGGAAACGTATAAAGGACTTAAGAAAAACAAAAATTAAGGGACCTGAAAATATGTTGGTGGTAAGTGAGGTGGCGTATGAAATGACGGTCATTATATCGAGGTTTTACTGTACGTGGGTTTCTATTGGTATTTGTTATCTTACAACATATATCACCAATAGGCGAGCTATGCTGTTCTCCAACAACTCTTGTTATTTCTTTGCCGAACCTAGAAGAACCATTTATGATGAATTTAAATACTGATTTTTTAAATATTTTGTGGAATGGTAAATTGCACAAAATAAAAAAGAGACATTATCGTAAAGAGGGCCCTTAAATGATATGTGATCAACCTAGATTAAGAGGCTGTATACAACAAACTTGCACATATTTATTAACTTGACGGAGTTAGAGATATTATAGATAATTGTGGTATTGATTATATTCCAAAATTCAAGAAGAGTTGTAAAAAGAATTTTGGAAAGATATGCTGGTAAGTTGGTACAACTTAGCCATACAATTTGTAAGCTCTGGATATAAAATGTAAAGAATTCACAAAACACCTATTTCTTACAACAGATCTATTTATAGGGAATGGCATTAGTAAGGTAAAACAGATCATTTTTTCATTAAAGGAGATAGATCGTGTTACAGAGCTATCAAGTACTTTGACGTACATTCCGAGGTATCATTAATTCTATAAAGAAATTAACGAAATCTCTGTATCTCGTTTATCGTTTCTAACACCTCACAGTTTTGGATCTTGATTCATAAGTGTTGTACTCTATTACGTGGTTTCTATAAAACACTGACATATCTTTATAAAACGACGCATAGAGCATGTTCGAAAACTAGCGATGACTAACAAATGTATATGGGGATGGGGATCTCGAAAGTTATGTTATGTCATGGTCTAGGGACTAAGTCCTTATGGGCGGTCCCGGTTTCCTGAGTCGATCCTGGTAGCACGGGTGTATTTTTTCTTCCTGTCTAGGGATTGTTTCTACATAGTTTTAGGATGGGTATATTAACCGTGTACATACTGTCACTCATACACTAGGTAACCAGAGGCTAGGCGAGGCCAATCTTGGTAGCATGGATGTATTCGTCTGTTCGTGCCCACTATGTGTGTATGTGATTATGTAATGGAGATCTCTAAGGTTTTTAAACAGAACATGTGTACACCCAAATTTACTATATTTGAACTCCATTCCTAAGGCCCAAAGGGGTCTAGCCAACTTGTTCATGTATAACATTTCTCTGGTGATTTTTTTTTCAAGCCAAACAGCCAAACATGGCGACAATCCTTACAACCATCGATTATCTGGTCCCAATGTTCTATCCTAGCGGTTAAAAGCCGATCAGTCGTTCAGAACGTGTCAGGTTTTGAAGCAAAAGAATGACGGATGACTTAGCCATTTTCGCACACGTCTGGTACGATTTTTTTTATTAACCAAATTATTCCCGGAAAAGCATCTTAATATGCTGAAATGTTTCGACACGTGTCATGAATGATTTTATGTTCTGACTGTATAAAAGCGCGATGTTTTGAAGTTGTTCATCATGAAACAAATATATATTGACGAGCAGTTTGTCTTCTTTTAAGTTTTCTATACAAAATTCTGCCACATCAGCATTAAACGACACATTTCATTGGTAATAACCATATATTATTGAACAATAAATCATCATGTACTGTTTTCCTTACCTGGTAGGTAATGAAGTAAACACGAAAAAACATTTTATCTTATTTCCGTAATTTTGCACCTTCGTTATAAAGAGTATTAATTCCACCACGAAAAATTCACATACGCTGATTATTTTTTAACTGGAACAAGGATATGTTTCCGTAAAATGAAAGAGAAAAAAATTACTTAGGTTATATGGTCCGTAACGATAATGCATTTCCTGTTCAAAAGGTGTTTTTTTTTAATAGGACTCACGTAAAATAAATTTTAACAATGATTAAACCGTTTTTTAGTTAATAAATCTTAACATCAATATTAATACAAATGCGTAAGATACCAATAATCTTAAATAAAACATTCTTATAACAACATAACCGGATTGTCAGATAAAAGTGGTTACATTATGCAACGAGGCTATTACAGGGAATGCTTGTACATTGTTGATAAATAGACTGACCGTACGTAAGGGGAGATAACTCACTGGATACCTACCAGATAGCTACGTATGAGTTACGGCGGTACGGTTACCACACAAGGATGTTTTATTCATAGAAAACTGAATATCAACATCTTGCACTCTTCACGGGGTGTCAAGGACATGTTCACGTGGTGTCTAGGACATGTTCACGGGGTGTCTAGGACATGTTCACGGGGTGTCTAGGACATGTTCACGGGGGTGTCTAGGACATGTTCACGGGGTGTCTAGGACATGTTCACGTGCAGGACAGCGGGCAATCCAACATTATCTAACTTAATAACAAAAAGACAAGAGAGTTCAAAAGATTTTATTAACAAATGCAATTTTAAGATAATAGGATAAACATAAGTAGGCAATTTAATGAAGTGAGATAAATGGTGATAAAATGGTATATACAGAGGATCCACAGGGGCATGAAACAATCGGCCCCTCCCCTAAAATTGATCTCGAACAAGGGCAAGACTATTTTCAGCTCTGAAGACTGTGTTTATAGTCATTGGCTATTATTTCTAAGTTTAATCGTATTATTAATTTTACAACCAGCATAACATTATTCAAACAATCGCACTTGTTGGCCCGGATGGAAGCGCGCAGACGATCTTAATGCAGGAGGAAACTGGGGAAATCTGGGCACAACCCGACACCATCCTACAGAACTGGCACTGGTACTGCCCTTGCTCAAGTCAGTGTTGAGTATGGGGTCGGGGTAGGGAGGGCTTCGATCGATTCAAGCTCAAGCAATTGTTAGTAGAGCCTCGCTAATCTAGTCGTCACACTTGGTTCGCAAATTACAAATTAGTTTGTGCGACCTTACGCACTGACTGAAAGGTGGGATAACCGTAGCGACCCGGGCTGAAGTAACGAGGCTCGACTGTCGTACAGTAAACCATAACCAAAGGTGTATGCAATATTTACAGTGGAACCTGTATTTACCGAACAACATGTACTGAACTTTTTCGTTCAAAATACACAAGTTTTTGTATTAGACAGGTCTAGTTACATAAAAAGATTTAACAGCAACAAAAATGAAGACAGGCAAGAAAAAGAATCAGATATATCATCAATAAATCCGATTATGATATTTATGTCATTCTCTCTCACATCAAATTTAGTTTTTTTATGAAATGAGCTTCAGCGATCTTCATAAGGCAGACGGAGTAGGTTGGCATTCCATTTTTCACATGTCTTACTGCATAATATTGATATAGTTTTTGTGAATACTGTTAAAAAAATAAATGAAAAAATAAAAAGTAAATAAAATGTCTTAACTATGACGTCATAATATTCTTTGTGACGTCTTAATTTGTCTCTACACAATTATAACCTAGTCCTACATTATTCCTGCGCTACGATGTTGTTATAACCCAATTTACTAGCCTAAGTACATTGTGAAAAAATAAAGATATTTTGTTGAATTCCACATGTTCACGAGTTTGTGTGAAATAACGAAAATATAGCGGCCAAAACTTGTGTAATAAATCCGTTATTCGAGGTTTTTTTTGAGAGTGTTGAACATACTGATTTATTTTGGGGAAAAAAATATTCTAACTAATTCCGGATGCAACACATTTGATTTGTTGATAGAAATAACTTTGGACGGTAATATAACGACGAATTAGTCGTAAATTTTGTTTTGACCACATCACAAACGTTCCGTATTTCATAATTTCCAGACTACGGAAAAAAATAATTTTCTATGCTAAGCATCTGCGCCCGGAAAATGCGCTTGTAAACGAAGATATATTAAAATGGGGATAACCCTAATGTGTTTGAGATTTGCGTAGTACTTTTTTCGGAAATTATTACTAGCGTTTTACTGACGCATCACCGGATACGGAATTGAACGATACTCTATTGAATAATGCTTCACACGGCCGTGTGTTGGGTCATTTGCTTATGATGTCACATCAAAAATTACCAAGGTTTCTCGTTGTTATGATGCATTATAAATATTAATGCCCGATTGGTTAGTTCGCCAAATTGCTAACTTATATCACTTTTATTTTCACCATAGGATGGATGTATCTTGCCGCTCGGGTGACAATTATATGGTATTTAACGAAAATTGCACTTCAAATCAAGCTAAATTAATGTTATATTTATAATAAATTCAAACAATGCGTTTAAACTCTTAAAACACCAAGCTTAGTGTAAGGGCAAAAAAACCCGGAAAGGAAAACATATTTAAAAGTGGGCACCAAGTTTGTCCACGTTTGGCTTAGTGTCAATACATTTGCCTATGGTCTGTTTCTTACGTTAAACACATTGATAGTTAAAATAAAATTGAAGTACTTTATGAAATCACAATAATTGTTACATACACATCAAAATACATTTAATATAATAAATGAGCAAATTCATATAAGGAATAAAACATTCGACTCCCTCATCATGTTTACCGGTCCGTGTTTCTAGACAAACATAACCAGTCCGTGTCATGAAGTGTTTGACCTAAATTTTCCCCAAAACTTTGAGACATCGAGTTGATTGTAATTTAACGGCTGTCTGCTGGGATGGTTTTTATCGAAATCCTTCACATCAATCATGCATGGCGTCCCTGAACAAGATTAAGACCGATCCTCACCTCAGTACAGATACACCAGTGTCCACAGGAAAGTGCTGGTGAAGGATACTATACCGACGAATGGATGGTTTATGGAGATTGTGGCACCGTTACAGCCATCATGGAAACATCTGTACGAGCAGGTGCTCACCTTCTCGTCTGCGATTTCCCGCTCATCGCAAAGATTTGCAGAGTCCCCACGGTCGCAATCACGAAAAACGAACTTCACTAAAAAGGATAATTTACAGAAAGGAATAATTGTGTTAGGAATGCTCGTTCAACCATACAACCATATAAACAAGCTCTCTGTCCGGCGTAATATCACACAACCACAGATTGGCTGGTTGAACGAGATTAAACACAGCACGTAGACGAATGGCAATCAAGCAAACTGAAAACTCATTTGTTCGCAGTGCGTGTTTTGCATATTAATCACATTAAAAGAAATGATGTAGAAATATATTATTCTCCTTGGATTGGTCAGTTTAACATTTTTTTCTCTTTTTTCCCCCCATGTCTCCGAATATATATATAAAGATGCAGAGGTTCCTCAATGAGTCACGATTGGTTAATCATTTAACTGACTGCCATTAATTAATTTTTCATAAGAATTCTTTTTAGAGAAAAAAATCGATTTTTGTTGAGGGTGAGACAAATAGTTTAACCAATCATAATGTATGGAAGGATTTGTTTGTCTCTTATCTATTTTCCAAAGCTATGTTATACGTTCTACCGTGAATGACATTTGACCTGTTCAGCGCGCAAAGATGCATTTCCACTGGTTTGGCAAATACTGTAACGGAGAACAATTTTCTAACGAAGACATATATTTTTTCACAATAAATCTATTTAAATAGGATCAGTTACTATATGAAATTCATTAAAATTGCTAGGAACATTTCATCGCGCATAGTCACGCATGTTCGTAAAAAAATAAACGGTAATATCCGAGATGAAAGGTGACATATAAAATGAATTGACGCGACTCAACAACGCAGTGCGTAAACATTATAACCACCACACTGCTTCACGTATGTTAGCGACGAAATACACGTTATTAAGGTATTTATCTGTTTCAAAAATAACGTAACAATCAATGTTTTGAAAACGATATCTAAGGTTAGGATTAATTATTAAATTGATCAAATATTAACACATTAATAAGAATATTTGCTTAACGATAGCAAATTAATGTAAATGTCTAAATTATTTTGATTGATTGACAATATCTGGAAGTAAGGAGCGTAATGATCTGTCCTTTGAGCCTCCCCTAGCACGCCATTGATACATGATGACGCCATTCCAGCGTACCAAACAAAAATGGCGACAGCTTGACTCTTGTTTACAAGTGGTTATCTCGGCTAATATAAAACCGTTCTTCGCGAGGTCTTGACGGTTCGTAAAATAACTATCAATAATGAACAATAAAATATTCATACATACCAATGGAAAATTCGTTCACTATTGAATTTAAAAAGAGACTAAGAAGCAAGTTAAAGTACAAAATGATATGCTCTTTTAATCGCGCTTTACACGTTTTTCATTATTGTTTTGCACAGATGGTCCAAAAATATATAATAACGGTAATTTGATATAAATTCAAACATCCTTTATATAACTTAACAATTATTTAAACTTTTTACTTTTTGGTATTTGAAATAAATACTTACTTCCATTAAGGACTCCTTCGTACTTAATACAGGAAGTCTGGTTTACGGCTGTGCAGTTCGTTGGAGAAACATTTCCGGAAAGGCAAGCCTGTCTCCCCATCTGTACCATAGTGCTGCATTGAACACAGGTTAGACCATCAACTTTAAATAAATTAAAAAGAAATACATATTACGTTTGTTTCACAATCAAAATATTTATATTTTGTATTCTTATCAGCCCGTCAGCATAATGTCTAACAGAGCCAAACAGCGAAAATGCTAACAAAGGACTAAACGCTGAAGAACAAAGTTTTAAAATTAAAATGATAATTATTAGAAGGAATGTCTGAAGATGATCAGATTGGTTACGGTAATGTGGTTTACTCATTAAACATATTGCGATTCCAGTGGCACCATTATGGAAATAAAAATTCAAGACATTTAAGTGCAGTTGCCTTCTGAAAATCTATGTCTTGTTGCCATGTAAGAATAAAATACCGTAACTGAAAACCTGTATTGAAAAAGCTACCTGCTACCGCTAACCCAAAGAAAAGACATGTGAAGCACAACATGTCGGATCATTAGAGTAAATAGATCTTAAGTGAACCAATGAGAGCAGTCACTAAGAAGAAGACGCTGAGGAAAACCCCGATTCTGCAGGTGGTCCAACGTCAGTGGCCTCAAAGGAAACTTGATATAAGAGTTCCCCTTTTCAAAAGACAAGGGCGATACCAAAATGGAACCTGTTTAGAGAAAAAGCTACAATCAATCTATTGAGGGTAGAGAATAGGGGAGCTTAAACGCATAGGGTCAAACACAACATGTAACAGACGATCAACGTTAGTCGGGGGGGGGGGGGGGGGGGGGGGGGGGGAGTTGCGACCTTTTCTTCTTATCAGCAGGTTATGACGGGGATACACATTACACATTTAAACGAAGTAGGATTTTATAGGTGGTCTCTAAATTTTCATTTGCCAGCAAGAAATTACGATCAAAGCCAATGTATGATACCTGCAACCAGTTACTGTTGAACGTACCTTTGATTACAGGTTAAGGACTAACACAACTAAATCAGCCAATCAGCAAGGTGTTTCATACGATTGTAAACCTTACCGAACATTTGTTCTGGTGAAATACAGTGCCTCTTTAAATGGGTAATTCTTGACATATTTTACATTAAATGAAATCTACTGATATTTAACTTTGGAAAAATGTATGTTTCTGGTAGATTTTAATATGTGATGGCGGATTTATACGGGGTCAAATGTCAGGAGGGTTCCCGTCCCAACTCACCGGTTTGGCTTGTAAACTTTCGGTTGTCAAACGTAGACGACTGTAGCGCTCTTATATGCCACTTAACTCGCCAAAAATGTATTTGACGCCTTTGTCAGGTATGTATCTATGAATCTAGACAGTTATAATTAGTGTTGAACTTCAAATAGTAAAGCTATTACCTAAAAAGAGTCCTTAAACGGTCAGGTGCGCGGGGAAACTCTTCCTTACTGTTTTCACTAGAGCAGTATAATGTTCCAGATAGTTATCAGGAGATTGGGAAGAGAAAAACAATGTACAAACACGGTTTTGAAGGTAATTGTTAAAATTTGGGGAAGGTCCTTAAATACTATGATTCCCATAAATTATGAAAAGGACAATGACAAAAACGACAACTAAAAGTACTGTTTAAATGGCCCAATATTATGTCCAACGTACATAAGTTCATTGGATGTGTTTTTATTGCATAAGCAATGACTTCGTGTATTTTATCAAGCAATAGTGTCACCCCTGTTTCTAAATTGCATCAGTTGTACCTAATCCTCAGGAGATCCATGGATAAATGAACACTTGTGCGTTCATTTGATTGTACAAATCGAAACTTGTTGAATGACGTGACTGTATGTAAGCGATACAGGGAAGAGATAATGGATAATTAACACTGCATTCTCGGTAAAAGCCGTCACCTAACATCTTCATTGTATATAATGACGTAAAAATTGTGGTAATTTCGCCAAAACCATCGATACCTTGTCGTATCTTGGAAGTAATCTCCTACTTAACAACATAATAATCGTCAATTCCAATCCACTTCGCTCCAAATTATCGGATTTATTCTGATTAGCATTCGTAAAACGCATAAACCAGTGTTTGGAATGTCTTTCTAGCGGAGTTTCATCGCATCATCCAAGCGCATTAAACCTACTGATCTCCTAGTCTTTACAAATCTTATTTTTCAATGTCTCCATGCTACAAGCGATATAATTGTCACAGTTAACACACATGTCATTGACCTGAAACGACATACAATTCCAGTGCATAGCATCAAAGTATGTCGTGCGTGAGATATCCGGTCTATAATGAAAACGAAGGAAGCAGGAGTAATGAAAGATCCGGTTTGTTTGGATGTGGAGTAACCATGGCGACCTCAACACACCTGCAATATACAATGTTGCTTCCTAAACCGAACCGTGCATAATCAGAAACCCTATGTAAATTGGACCCTTTGAAAGCATCCGGCTAACCTTGTCTGATTCCGGTACCATTCATCTACGCAATATGCCGAGTTGTGACCGAGTGCCTTTGTAAGATGCGACTCTATACATTAATACAACATAAAACAACGTTGTGAATGCCAATGTGGGTATTCCTTTCTTACGAAGACGGCACTAGCTAAACTTCAATGTCCACTGATTTAAAATATTGCATGTGTCTGTCACTTCCGTGCCATGACTGACTTTTTCATTGTCCATTCTATCTGCTATGCCGTTTGTATTGGGGAAGTGCAAACACAACTTAACGTAAATATTTAGTAACGAATTGGTCAGAAGATTAATTTCTCATTTTCCTTTTTAAAAAATCATTTTATTTCAGCAAAACGTGTCTCCACGTTTAATGGAAGGAGTTGTGAATTTTGTAAGATTGCTCATTTATTTAAATTTCAAAGTCATGCTAAATGTTGCATGAAGATTTAATACAATAATTCGATATATTTTAATTGTATTAATTTCTGAGATTGTTACAGCAGAAACGTATGTGGTACCATATCATGCCAAAGCTTGGGATCATAATATTACGGATATCATAACATGAGTGTATTTTCCTATCGGTGCTTACAGTAGTCACACGACAGGAAGATGTCCTGCTGGCAAAGGATGGCATTTCAATGACAACGCGTTTGTTGGTTGTTTGTGTTTTACTTCCTATTAACAGCTTTGGCCATTTAAGGACGTGTCAGGTGGTGGTGGTGGTGGTGGTGGAGGAGGAAAGGCGGAGTTCCCGGAGAAAAACCGCTGACCTGCGGTCAGTCCCTAGCGACTGCCCAACGTAGGTCTCGAACCAGGTCGCAAGGTATTGACCGTACGATGCACACACATTTTAGTTGGACTTATCTAGTTTACCCGTATCGCCGTAACACATATTCCTTACCCAGTAGTCATACTGATATAATAGTAGCATAACAATTGTAGTTCTGAAATTTAAATATTTAAAACATAGTATGTGTAGTACATTTGTTCTGCTTCAGAGCAAAATTACAAATGTTTTCTGACTATGTTTGGCCCATTATATCAGATTAAGTGTTAAATGTGAGTTTAGGAGTTAATTTGATCAATCATTGTGCTGTCCTGCTGCCCCCATTGCATGATCGTAAGAGGCGACTAAATGGGATTTATCTTTTTTCTTCTTTCTAAACAACTTTCTCCTTTCTAATGTCTCCCTTGACAATGTCTCACTTTTGGCCTTTAGTTGAGCGTTCGCCCCTGTGAGGAAGGCTTTGGGTTCTGACCGCTGGTCGAGACATACAAGAGTCTACTCCTGCTTAACGCTCCTCAGCAATTTAGGAGTGGGGCGACTGGTTCGCCCGTTGTCAGTATCATGTCACCGGGTGAGGTGTCCTGCTGAGCGTCTTCGGCAGTATGTTTCAGTGAGGTAGCACTGAAAAGTCGACATCAGTTCCGCGATATCAGAAGGAGACAAACACGAGCATATCGCAGTCTCCAAAAACACACGCATACACTACACGCATGCATCTTGCACACATGGGAGGCCGTCCTTAAATGACCATAGCTGTTGCTAGGACGTTAAACAATACTGAACAAAACAAAACCATTTTGCTGTCGGTTATCTGATGCAGATTGGTATTGTCTAACTTATCATTAAAATATTGGAGGTGTCATCGGCAAATAGAATCGCGGGACTAACATGTGTATTGGTGATAACCTAATGTATTATCATATTATTAGAAAAGAAATCGTCCCTTTACAAATCCTATTCATGCAGTCAAAGTTTCATACGAAAAACACTGGTTCCTGGTTCACCTGCCATTTATTCATAAAATTCCATCAACATTATAGCATCTATTTCGTACTTCATTACATCTATTTCGTACATTATTACATCTATTTCGTACTTTATTACATCTATTTCGTACTTTATAGAATCAATTTTCGCGTTGAAATTGTCCCCGAAAATCGTTTGAAGAAACTCTTACGCATCGTACCAAAGTTTGGTAGTTAATAAAAACAATTAACGTTTTGTTCAAGGGTTCCAAGTATTAACTGTTTAAGTTCCTTGAGGTGCATTTATATAGAGAATCTAATTGATGGAGATATACCAGGCTACATAGTTGCAATTTTAAATATTTATGTTTTTAATTTCTCTTCTTTTTAATAAAGGTAAGTATCCTATTTCATCATATTGCAGTTCTGCTATCATGCATGCTGCCTTTACCTTTGCTTTAGTTTTTCGAACTCTGATGATTTTGTCACACCGCACTTTTCCTATGCCTTGAAATCATTTTCTAAAAGTGACTAAACATAGTTGACATACATTAAACACGTTTGGACAGACCGGCAATTTATGCATGGCATTGATAAAACAAATTAGACAGTAAACCATAGATGAAAAAGAATTTGTTCTTATTTCATAGGAAAGTGATAATAACTAGTTTCTCCAAAACGTTTCATAGGTAATCTGTACTATATATATATACATCCATTTCAGCCAATGTTTTTTCGCCTGCGGACAGAAATAGGGGTCAGTCAATCTAAGTATGGTACCACTATCTGTAGCATTAATGTGTTAATGTTTCCAATTAATAAGTCAAATCTATCTCGTGACTATTCCATCTAGATGTAAAAATATATAGATTAATCGGTATGATTTCAATT